TCCTTTTAAAATGTCCTGTTTGATCACAATTATAGCATGTTTTTGGCCTGGCATCTAAAGCCTGTTGTACTGCTGCTAAGACTTGCCCTTGTTCATTAATGTCTCTACATAATTTAATATATGTGTTTAAATCTTCATGTCTCCATGGTCTAATGACCTCTCTGCAACAACGATTTGCTTGGTCATAAGCCAGTTGTTTTATAAATGGCATTGCCTGTTCTGTATCCCCAAAAATTCTGGAAGCTGCTTGAATAAGCCTATCTACAAATTCAGCGTAAGGTTCATTAGTTCCTTGTATTACCTTAGATAATTGACCTTGTAAACCTCCATGCCCCTGTAAAGTTTTCCATGCCCTAACCGCATCTACAGCAATTTGTGCGTATACGCCAGGATCATATTCAATTTGTTGCCGTTGACCCTCATAAGGTCCTTTTCCTAACAACATATCTAGATTTCTTTGAGGGTAACCGGCTGCTGCATTTCGTCTAGCTGTCTCCCTGCAAAATTCCTCATTGGCAACCTTCCATAACAAATATTGTCCTCCATTTAGCACAGATTTACACATACTAGCCCAATCTGCTGGCGTCATGTCCAAGTTGGTAATGGATTCGACCATGCTTACAGTGAACGGTGCTTGAGGACCATAGGTTGTTACAGCCTCCTTTAACTGCTTCACTGTTTTGAAATCTAAAGCACGGTGAATTCGCTGCCCTCCTGCCTGCTCAAGTACAGGGCATGCTAATCTTTGAGGTCCTGTCTCAGGATCCCATCTATCAACTACGGGGTTTGAGGGCCACTCAGCTATCTCCATAGGGGGAGCTGTTGGTTGAATTACGCCCTCTGGTGATAGAACGGTGTTAGTAGCAGCCTCCTGTTGTAGCTTTTTCCCTAATAGCTGTTTCTCCTCTAAGCTTTCTTCCTTTAAATCTTCTTCCTCTGTCTGACTAGCTTGAGAGACCTTCTCTTTTGCTTGATCTAAAATGTCTTTCTCCATGGTCTGAACCTCTAACAATTTACTTAACACTCTTTCAGTTTGTTTTTTACTAATTTCTAATCTGTTATAAAGATAACGCAACCCAGTAAGATAACACAAAACAAAACCGAAACAGGATGAAACAAAAACGGAACAAAAAATCGTTGTATCAATTTTCCTATTTTCTTGACATGTGCATTTGTGGTCTATTTCTATCTCTTCCTCAGGGGCGAACAACTTCAAACCTTGAGCCAACCATTTTTCCCAATCTGCCTGAGAAAATTCTAGGGATAGGCAGCTTGAAACAAACACAAAACAAATCAAAACAAGAACACATTGTTTTTTAAAATGGTCGCCCATTCTCTCGCCTTCCCTTAGGGGCAAGCAATTTCACTTACCCCGAAGCTTCAGACGTTCCCCGAACGGGCCGCCAAATGCCGCAGTCTGGCTGGGCACAAATCACGAGCCACTGAAGCAGGAACAAACTTTATTTTTAAACTGCAGGAAAACACTTCACACAGCTCCCGGGGAATCCTCCCGAACGCGCCAGGAGGCTTGTCCAGGAACCCCCAGCCGGAAATATCTCTCCCGGAAATCCCTCCTCCTGCACTTCCCCAACCAATGGGAACTCTCGGGGAATCCCCGGAAATCCCCATGAGAACTCCAAAATAGTGCGAGAACTCAAAAGTTGCGGCAGAGGCGGATAGTAATGCCTCGCCTGTCAATCAATACTGTTGGCAAAATGCCAGGGGCCATACAGACTCGGCCGTGGCTCTCAGCACATGACTAATTGTCATTTTACTGCTTTAGGGGTGCAAGGACAACTGAGGTGGTAGAGGCTGGGAGTGCTGATCTGGCCTCCTGGAGGCTAGAAGCACAGGAGGAAAAGCTTGTGGGGACAAAATTCAATACAGTTAGGGTCCCACCAATGCCAGGGATCCTGGAAGACCTCTCAGGGAGGAACACAGTGGTGACTGGACTGTGTGCTAGAGACAGCGTCCAGGTGATGAGCTGATCTTACAGGTGTCCTCATGGGGAGGGAGAGTAAAGGGCCAGGGGTGCAGGCTCCTCCCTTAGCAGAGGAACCAGCTGAGGCCACAGTGCGGTTGGGGGTGAGTTACCAGATCAAAAGTCTCGAGGTCATCTGCGGCCTCCAAAGCCCATCTCTCCCTTGTGAGGCAATAAGGACCCCTGCCTGGGTGTCAGCTGGGAGGACCCCTAGCCCCCTCTCACCAACCCTGGGCTCTGCAACCCAGCCTTGGTCTCTAGCTCTTCACCCTGTTGCTGTCCCTCCACTCCATTCTGCTTTCTCCTTTGGCGCCTGTACCTCTTTTTCCTTTCCTTTCCCTGTGGTCTTCATCACCCTCGCTTCCTCCTCCTCCTCCTCCTTCTCCTCCTCCTCCTCCTTCTCCCCTTCTTCCTCTTCTTTCGCTCTCCCTCTCCCCCCTCTTCCCCAGTGCTGAGGATTGAACGCAGGGCCTCCCACATACCAGGCAAGCACTCTCTGTACTACTGAGCTGCACCTCTACCTCTCTTTATTTTGAGATGGGGTCTGGTCTTGCTAAGTTCCCCTGACTGGCCTTGAACTCAGGATCCTCCTGCTGGGGCACCTGAGTTGCTGGGACTGACATGCACCATCTCACTCGGTGGTTCAGTTTAAATATTTGTGATGGCAGCGCAAGTTGATTAAGACAGTGGGATTGTAATAACTGCTCTGGAAAAAAAAAATAAAACCGGGAACAGGGAGGGAGGCTGGGGTGTGGGTGGAGCAGAACTAGAATCAGTGTGTGTGTGTGTGTGTGTGTGTGTGTGTTCCAGGGGGTGGAACCCAGGGCATTGCTGACTCTACCACTGAAGTACATTCTCAGTCCCTGCAGGTGATATTTGATTAAAGACCAGAAGGAAGTGAAGAAGAGTCATGCTGAGAAGAGTGGCCCAGGCAGAGGGAAGGCAAGTCCCTGAGGTGGGACTTTACCTGTCTAGTTTGAGAAAAGAGACAGGTATGAGTGAGTGGAGAGGAGTATTAGAGGAGGGAAAAGTCAGGAAGATGGCTGTCCTCTTCACAGTCCATATCCTTATCCAAGTCCTCATCTGGGTTCCTAAGGCAGAACCCTCCAACTGGCCGCTAGAGGCCACCCTCTCTGTGGTTCACAGAGTCACCTCATCTCATGCTATTGGCTCTTGCTGAGCCCTAACTGTCCCTCAAATGCCATGCTAAGCACTTTACAAGGATGAACTCAGCTCATCCTCCAACATCTTTATGAGTTAGAGGCTTTTAAAATTTTTACAGCTTTATTGAGGCATAATTCACGTATCATAGACCACACACATTTTTGTGTACAATCTGATGAGGTCTCACACTGGGGAAACCACCACCACAGTCCAGGTATTATATACATGCCTGGCCTTCAAAAAAAGATTCCCTAGGCCTTTTTAAATTCCTCCTTCTCCCTCCTCCCTATTCCCATCCCCAGGCAACCAATGATCTGTCTTCAGGAACTACAATGAGTTGCATTTTCTCCAGTTTATATTAAATAGAACTATAGTGTATGTATTTTTTTTTTTGGGGGGGGGGCGGGGGTACTTGATTTTTTTCCCCAGGCATTACTAATATGAAGGTTCGTTTTGGTGGCAAGTTGATACCGCCTGTCCTTCCATCAGGGCTGTGTTCTGTTTCCCCAGATGTGAAGATTGAACACCCAACAAACGCCGATGCAAGCGCAGAAAGCAAGTTTTATTTAAAGGATAGAGCAGAGAGAGACTTCTCCGCAGAGAGAGAAGAGGCCCCAGAGCTGGGTACCCGAGGAAGTAGGGTGTCCTGCCCCTTTTATACATTTTAGAATTTCTTTGTTCTCATGGCCTCCCCCCTCTATCCTAGGTGACTTTTGACCAAAGCGACTCCTGATCCAAAGGTGGCCAAAGGTGGCCAAAGGTGGAGTGATCCAAGGAGGGGAATGAAGCTATCCTGGGGTCCAGGCTGAAGGGAGCACTCAATAACAGCCCCTGTAGGAGAAACAATTCTCTGGAGGCAGGTCACCTTGACAACCGGGGTAAGGGCTCTGGAGGTATTAGCATTTGATTTCCTTTCCTTTGCCTCCTCCCTCTGAGTGTTGGTCAGTGCTAGCGGGTTTCCCTAGCACTAGCACATGATAGTTCATGAGTTCTGTCCTCAGCATTAAAAAAAGAAAGAAAGAAAAGATGATTGATTTGTGTTTTTGCAGGTATGTATTGGAGCCCAGAACCCATTATGCACATTAAGAAGCAGTGGGCACTGTGGCCCGTGCCTATAATTCCAGCAGCTGGAGAGGCTGAGGCGGGAGGCTGAGGCAGGAGGATCCAGAGTTCAAAGACAGCCCCAGCAAATTAGAGAGGCCCCAAGCAACTCGGTGAGACCCTGTCTCTAAATAAAATACAAAAAAGGGCTGGGGATGTGGCTCAGTGGTTAAGTGCCCCTGGGTTCAATCCCCGTACCAAAAAAAAAAAAAGAAAAAAAAAAGGAAAGAAAGAGACAAACCGGGGTATAGGCCTCGGCTTGCCGGGCGGGGCACAAGGTGGGGGTAACACCCAGATTTGGGTTGAACAGCCCGCCTAGGGGGCGTTCACGCCCTCCACATTCGTTCATGTGGATACATGTATTCGAATTCTATTTTGCACTAGAGGAAACTGAGGCACAGAGAGGAACGGCTGGTCCGAGGGTCGCACGCGGAAGACCCGCCCCGGGCTGAGGCGGTCCTGGCCGGAGCCGCGGTGGGCGTTCCGCGAGTAGGAGAAGCGCCCACAGGTGCGTCCTCTCGCCGAGGTCCCGCCCCCGGGGCTTTGGGGGGCGGTCCTGGGGGTGTGTTCGGGGAGGGGCTTCTCGGCTCTGGGGCTTCTGATAAGGGCCGCAGGGGCTCGCGCGCGCCTGGGCGGTGCGATAAGGCGGGCGTGGGGGTGGCGCGGGGAGGATCTGGGTCTTCGAGTCCTTGCGGGGCGGCCTGGGCGGGGGACCCACGGGGTTCAGGGCGGGGTGGGGCGAGCGGCCGGGTTACGCCCGCCTCCATCCGGGGGCCTGAGCCGCTAAAATGGCGATGGCCGTATTGGTGGCGGCAGCTCGCGCGGCTCCCGGGAGCCCGGGGCTAGGGGCCGAGTAGTCCCTTCCCCGGAGCCCGCGTCCTGGTCGCGGGGCGCCCTGGGGCGCGGCGGCCGCAGCCCCCACCCGGATCCTCGGTCTGCCCTCCTGGCGCGTCCATGAACTCGGTGTCGCCGGCCGCCGCGCAGTACCGGAGCGGGAGCCCGGAGGACGCGCGCCGGCCCGAGGGCCGCAGGCCGAGGGTTCCTCGAGTCCCGGACCCCAACGGCCTGGGGCCCTCTGGAGCCAGCGGTCCCACTCTTGGCTCTCCTGGAGCTGCCCCAGTTGAGCCGGACGAAGTGGACAAGTTCAAGGCCAAGTTTCTGACTGCCTGGAACAACGTCAAATATGGTGAGGAGGGGGCTTAGCGGTCAGGGTTGGAGGGACTCAAGGAAAACCAAATCCCGTCCCTGCTGATTATTCCACCATTTGTTCCCATTCTGTGAGTCACCTGTGGGTCTCCACCCTGCCGAACCCAAGGTGGACCCAGGGCAGGTTCTACAGGGAATGTTTCAAGCCCCGCCCATTCCTTCGTTTGACCTTGGGCAAGCTTTTTCGCTTCCCTAAGCTTCCATTCCCCCTTCGGTAAAATGGGTACAATAATCAGACTGAGTTGTTGGTGGACACACATGCAGCTGTTACCAGGGGCCCCACCTCCTCAGGAGTGTGTTACATGTATATTCCAGAAGCATCCCTAAGTAAGGAACCAGAGTCATGTCCATTTCACAGATAGGTGAATGGAAGCCCCTATTGCTGACAATCAAGTGCTTCATTTCTCTGGCTACCTCATGTCTCCTCAGGTTGGGCGGTTAAAAGCCGGACCAGCTTTAGCAAGATCTCCAGCATTCACCTCTGTGGCCGCCGCTACCGTTTTGAGGGCGAAGGTGAGCATGAGGCTGGGACCAGGGTTGGGGTAGGCTTCCAGAGGTGTCCCTGATGGCATCTGACAGGTCTGCTTTTGTAGGTGACATCCAACGTTTCCAGCGAGACTTTGTGTCACGCCTGTGGCTCACTTACCGCCGGGACTTTCCACCCCTGGTGGGGGGCTGCCTGACCTCCGATTGCGGCTGGGGATGCATGTTGCGCAGTGGCCAGATGATGCTGGCCCAGGGCCTGCTACTGCATTTCCTCCCTAGAGGTGAGCCTGCAGAGGAAGGAGTATACTAGGAGTATAATGCCAACCATGTGTCAGCAGTGTTAAAACTGTTTGCAAAGTGTTTAAAGCCATGTTAGAATGGTGTGTTAAGTGATTAGTTTTAGGGAGTGTGAGAGTTGTTTGGAAAATAAGAGTTTCAGAAGGGAAATGGTGCGTGCTTGAAGTCTGAACTACTTGGAAGGCTGGAGTAGGAGGATGGAAAGTTTTGGGAAACTTAACAACACCCTGTCTCAAGGTAAAATTTAAAAAAGGACTAGGGTGTGGCTCAGTGGTAGGATGCTTACCTAGCATGTGTGAGGCCCTGGGTTCCATCTCCAGTATCACCAGAAAAACAGAAAGAAAAAATATGGAGTTCCAGGCATGTGAAAATTATAATTAAATTTATGGTTCTCAGAAGTATCAGAATTGTGTGTAAAATATGAATAAATGGGAACTGTGTCCCTCCATACACACACTAGCACTATTTGACTATGTACTCCATCCCCACCAGACTGGAGATGGGCCGAGGGCACAGGCTTGCTTCCCCCTGAGCTGTCAGGGGTGGCCTCTCCCAGCCGGTACCGTGGGCCTGCCCGCTGGATGTCCCCACACTGGGCTCAGGGCACCCCTGAGCTGGAACAGGAACGTCGGCACCGGCAGATTGTGTCCTGGTTTGCTGACCACCCCCAGGCCCCTTTCGGTCTACATCGGCTGGTGGAGCTGGGACAGAGCTCAGGCAAGAAGGCGGGTGACTGGTATGGGCCATCGCTGGTGGCACACATCCTCAGGTGAGGACAGCTGCAGGGAATATGGGAGCTGCTATGTATCCCCAGGAACTCAGGCCTTCCCTTCTACCCCTAGGAAAGCTGTGGAGAGCTGCTCAGAGGTCACCCGCCTGGTAGTGTATGTTTCTCAGGACTGCACAGGTAAGGGGCTAGGAGCCAGTCATTGCCTTAACTGCCCCTTAGGACTCACCTTTTTCAGAGACTGAGAAAAGTTCTGGGGTACAGGAACACTTGGGAAGGATTCTAGGCCCATGGCTTAGAAGGTATACAGGGTCCCTTTCTTCTGCCTCTTTCTAGAACCAGGAGAGGAAACTTCAGGGGCTTCACCTTGATAGAAACATAAGGTTCTCCCTCTCCCCTGTCCCATTCACTCTTGCTGTTCTAACGATTATAACATTTGGAGGTCTGTCTGGTCTCCTCTGCCACAGAGAGTTGTCATGAGGATTCAGTGAATCAATAATACAAGCAATAATACAAGTACTGAGAGCAGTCTTTTCACGAGCCAATATTCACTAAGTAGTAGTTATTATTATAATATCCCACTACCCTCCAAATCAGTTTAAAAGGGTCTTGACAGGAGCACTATGGTTTTCTGTCAGGGAATCTGCATAACCTATAAATTTTCAAGCAAAATTGTAGGTGTTTGGGACAAGATTTGATTTTTAGAGAATGGGGTTTCCAAAAAGGGTTGAGTCTATTTGCTGGGAGCCAGGAAAGAGGCCTCATGGAAGGAGATGGGGGTTGGGGAAGAGTAAAGAGTGGACTTGTGGAAGAGGGACACACAGGGACAAAGTACCTGGTGCTCCCATTTCTATATAGGCAAACCATGGTGCTGTGTCACTGGGGGCCAGTCGAACTTGGGACTCTAGAGGGGCATTTGACCTAGAAGGAGAGGCTGCTGCTTTCTGTTTTATGCTCTTGGTCTCCGTGTCTTAGTCACCCTGTTAAATGGGGATATCCCCATGTGCCTGGAGGTCCCAGGATTGTTTGGCAGTTTTGGAGGGCACTAGAAATTTTTGGCTGACAATGATGTTATTGCTCACCAGGAGCTTGTACAGATAAGGTTGGGCCCCTGGGGTTTGAGGGCCATCCTCCAGGGCTTGAAGGGTAGGTAGGAAGGTGACCTACTGCTGCCCTGTCATCCCCCCAGTTTATAAGGCGGACGTGGCACGCCTGGTGGCCAGGTCGGACCCTACAGCTGAGTGGAAGTCTGTGGTCATCCTGGTGCCTGTGCGACTGGGTGGTGAGACGCTCAACCCAGTGTACGTGCCCTGCGTAAAGGTAGGTTTGCACAGATTCTGGCATCTCCACCTGGGAGCCCTCCACCTTTTTAGCTTGGGTTCGGATCGCAGTTTATGTCTCCTTCATCCCTTCGTCCTTTTTTTTCAGTAGTCATGGAGCACCTATGTGCCACTTGCTGTCCTGGGTGTTGAGATCCAGGGAGGAACAGAACAGGCAGAAATTCTGAATGTGTCCAGTGGGAGGGGCATGATCTGTGATTAAATTGGCATTAGAGGGTGGGCATGTAGTTCAATGGGAGAGCACACCAAAAAGGAAAAAAAAAAGTAATTTAAAAAAAAGGCATTGTTGGGGCCAGGGTTGTAGCTAAGCGATAGAGTGCTTGCTGAGCATGCGTGTTCGACCCTGGCACCACATAAAAATAAATAAAAAATAAAGATAGTGTGTCCATATACAACTAAAAAAAAAGAAGTTGGCATTGTGCCCTGGACTCTAAAGGGAAGGAAACTTCCCCAGTACGGGTGCACGGGATGGCTGTGGAGCATGGGAAAGCCCCTGCCCAGCCCAGAAGCAAATGAGGAACCAGAGAAGTGGTCCAGGGAAAAGGAACAGCAAGACAAAGGCCCAGGAGCTGGAAAAACCCAGATGCATTTGCACCCAAGAGTTCTCCCGTAGCCCACAAGGCGCTGAACCATTTGTTCCTGTCACCTCCGTGAACTTCTCACCCAGACTCCTCTGTCACTCTGCTTCAGTCACATGGGCCTCTGTACTGTTTTCACACCACCCCTGCCTCTGCACCTTTGTACTTGTTCCCTTTGTACTAGGACAGCTTTCTTTCTAGCCCTGCCAATGCCTCCCTCTCTAATCCCCCAGGTCTTTGTTGAGACCTCACCTCTCAATGAGGCCTTTCCGACTTCCCTGTTTTGTTGGTACTGGGATTAAACTCAAGTGAACTCAACCGCTGAGCCACATCCCCAGCCCTATTTTGTATTTTATTTAGAGACAGGGTCTCACTGAGTTGCTTAGCACCTCACCTTTGCTGAGGCTGGCTTTGAACTCACGATCCTCCTGGCTCAGCCTCCCAAGCTGCTGGGATTACAGGCGTGTGCCACCATGTCCGGCTGACTTCCCTGTTTAAAATTGCAGAGTCTGAGAGCCAGGCATGGTGGCATGTGCCTCTTTAAGCCCAGTGGCCCAGGAGGATGAGGCAGGACGATTGCGAGTCCAAAGCCAGCCTTAGCAAAAGCGAGGTGCTAAGCTACTAAGTGAAACCCTGTTTCTAAATAAAATACAAAATGGGGCTGGGAATGTGGCTTAGTGGTTGAGTGCCCCTGAGTTTAATTCCTGGTACTTCCCCAAATAAATAAATTAAAAGGGTTGGGGATGTGACTCAGTGGTTAAGCAGTCCTGGGTTCAATACCTGGTACTTAAAAAAATAAATTGAGGGGCTGGGGATGTGGCTCAAGCGGTAGCGTGCTCGCCTGGCATGCATGTGGCCCGGGTTTGATCCTCAGCACCACATACAAAGATGTTGTGTCCACCGAAAACTAAAATAAATAAATAAAAAATAATAAAATAAATTGAAATTAAATCACAGTCTGCCTTGCACAGTGGCACACACTTTTAATCTCTGTGACTTGGGGGCAGAGGCAAGAGGGTCACAAGTTCAAGTCTTGCTTGGGCAACTTAGACCCTGTTTCAAATTTAAAAAGGGCTCGGTATGTAGTTCAGTGGTATAGTGCCCCTGGATTCAATCCCAGTACTGTAAGTAAATAAATGATAAATAAAATTGCAAAGTCTTGTGCTGGACTTGTAGCTCAGTGATAGAGCACTTGCCTAGTGTGTACAAGGCCCTGGGTTCATTCCCCAACAGCACACACACACACAAAAAAAAAAAGTAAATAAAACTTCAAGCCACCTTTCCTCCTTTATCCTTTTCTATAATGTTATTATCTCTAATAAGTAGTTCATCGTCCTTGTTCATTTCCCACACTAGAATGTCAGCTCCATGAGGCAGGGGTGTGTTCATCTTAACCATTATTACTTCCCCAGGGCTTAGCACAGGACTGGGTTTACATACTGTAGGTGTCTGCTAAGTGTTTTGAGTGACTGCCTCATGCCACCTGCCTCTGCTTCTGCCCCCTCTCCTCCCTGCAGGAGCTACTGCGGTCAGAACTGTGCTTAGGCATCATGGGGGGCAAGCCACGACACTCACTGTACTTCATCGGCTACCAGGGTAGGCCTTGCCCCACTGTGCCCTTCCCTACCTCCTTGCCCTTCCCCTGCTCATGTCTGGCCCCCTGCAGATGACTTCCTGCTCTACCTGGACCCCCACTACTGCCAGCCAACAGTGGATGTCAGCCAGGCTGATTTTCCCCTGGAGGTGAGCTGGTTTCCCCAGGGTGGGGTTGGGCTTAATGGAGAGGCAGCTGGACTCCTCTGAACCTCCCTCATCTTTCTGCCTCAGTCTTTCCATTGTACCTCACCCCGTAAGATGGCCTTCGCCAAGATGGACCCTAGCTGTACCGTGGGGTTCTATGCTGGAGACAGGAAGGAGTTTGAGAAGCTCTGCTCGGAGCTGACCAGGGTGAGCAAGAAGAAAGGTGGGAGGCACAGGCAGGGCTGGGGTTAAAAGAGGACAAAGACCTGAGTCCAGTAGACCTGGCGGTGCAGGCTGTTATAGTTTAGAAAATGTAAAGAATGTCTCCCTTTAGGCCAGATGTGGTGATGCATGCCTGTAATACCAGTGATTTGGGAGGTTGAGGCAGGAGGATCACAAATTTGGGGCCAGCTGTAGCAGACCCTAAGCAACTTCTGAACCCAGTCTCAAAAGAAAAATAGCTGAGGATGTAGCTCTGTGGTAAAGTGCCTGTGGTTGGCAGTGGCACACGGCTATAACCCCAGCTTTTCAGTGGGCAGAGGCAGGAGGATAAGAAGTTAGAGCAACATGGGCAGATCAGCAAGACCCTGTCTCAAAGGGCTGAGGAGCTCCGCACAGTAACACACACCTGTAATCCCAGTGTCTTGGGAGACTTACACAGGAGGATCACAAGTTCAAACCCAGCCTCGGCAATTTAGCCAGGCCCTGAGCAATAATAAAATATAAAAAAGCGCTAGGGATGTGGCTCAGTGGTTAAGCCCCTCTGGGTCAATCCCTGGTACTGAAAAAAAAAAAAATGGCTGGGTATGTAGTTCAGTGGCAGAGTGCTTGCCTAGCATGTGCAAGGGCTGGACTTCTATCCCTAGAACTACTGGAAGGAAAAATTTGGCAAGGATTATGGTGTCTACAAGATGGAAAAATCCCAGCTTTTATTTGACGAGAGTAAAATGGGATGTGAATTAAAAGGCTTGGGGCATTACTGCCTTGGGGGCAGCTGCATCAATTTCACCTGGTTTTTGGTCTCTGTAGTACCCTTATTGTGGTATAATATGGCCACCAGAACTTCCAGGTACCCCCAATACCTGTTCATCTGAAGGGGTACTCAGTTTTTATAGTAGATCCCATAGATATCCCAGGGCCATTTTCATTGTTTGTGAGTGGTAGTGCCTTTGCCCTTGGGTGGCTACTGGGCTCTGGGATTGGTTACTGTTAAGAGGCTGAGACTCTTGCCTTCCAACAGGTTCTCAGCTCCTCTTCAGCCACAGAACGGTACCCCATGTTCACCCTGGCCGAGGGCCACGCTCAGGACCACAGCCTGGATGACCTCTGCTCCCAGCTTTCCCAGCCAGCCACTCTGCGCGCCCCTCGCACAGGGCGCCTCCTCAAGGCCAAAAGGCCAAGCTCCGAGGACTTTGTGTTTTTATAACGGAATTGGGGGGGAAAAGATGCAATACTATTTATTTTTTTATTTATGTCATCTTGGATATGGGATCTAGAACTCTGGTGATAGGATCCCCATTCTCACCCCCTCCACAAACCCGGCTGAGACCTGTCTAGGACTCTGCAGGTCTGGGGCTGTTCTAGCAGTGGATGAGCCCCAGGCAGCCTGCCTCCTGCCAACTGGGTCCTCCTCACAGGCAGGGAGTGAGGGAGGACTCCCGGGCACTCACTCAGGGCCTGACTCAAGTACTGTAGTTTGCACTGGACCAGCTGTGCCCCTCATGTTCCCAAAGCCCCCTTCTAAGGGAACTTTGGCTGCTGGGGGATAATAAAGCTGCTGAACTTGAACGTGGAAATGGCTGGGCTTAGCATTCATTGCAAGGGGATGTGGGGTCCAAGGTTGTTCAAGGTGTGGTTTCTAAGCCACTTGAGGAAGTTAGTTAAGCCAACCTCAGTTTCATCATCTTTTAAGAGAGGGTGATGCACTTGCCTGCAGGTAGACATGAGGTTCCCCAGAGCAGGTGCATAGCACAGGTTGGCAGGAGGGAAGACCTGGCCCAGGGAAGGAGCCCACCAGCCTCTGCCTGCTCCATGATCTTTAGGGGCAGCTTTTGGGCCCACGCTGTTTCCTTAGTTGCTTGCTCAGCTGGCGGAAGTGCAGCCTTTTGGGGTTGAGGCCAAAGGCCTGAAGTCTCTGACGGCTGAACTCATGGCCACCAAGTGTCACAGTGGGGCCCAATAGCCGTGCCTTCTTGTTCCTCTTCCGTCTTTGGGGGGCTGGCTTTTCAATGGGTGAAACAGACACCTCTTCTTCCTGTGCTGGGGGGCTCTTTGCCTGGGGCTGCTTCCTACAGGCCCCATCAGGCACTGGCAGCTGCCCCTGTGGGCTAGCTTTGTCTCTCTGTGGCTTCCTTGTGGCTTCTGTGGGCGTCTGTGTCCTATAGGCAAAAAGTCAGGGATCAGGCCAGTCATGACCAGCTCCTGAGCACTCCCACCCCCACCCCCCTCCTCCCCCAGCCACAGCCCCATTTCATAGATAAGAAGAAGCATCTACAGAGATTCAGGCCCTGCCTGGGGTTCAAAACTGGGCCTGATGTAAAAGTCAAGTTTTTCTTACTGAACACTAAGGATGGATTATGATGCTGATAATTTTGGTATTTGTGCCTGGGCCTACTTTAAGCTATTCATATAAATCAACTGAGTTTTAAATCAACTCTGTAGCTGAGTGTGATGGCACATACCTATAACTCCATATACTAGGAAGGCTAAGACAGGAGCATCTCAAGTTCAAGGATAGCCTGGACAATTCAGCAATATGCTCTCTAAATAAAAAGGGCTGGAGATGTGGCTCAGTGGCACAGTGCTTGCCTAACTGTGTGAAACCCTGAGCTCAATTCCCCGTGTTGAAAAAAAAATTTTTTTTAAATGAACTATGAGCTTCTACTACCCCTATTTATATACTGGGAAATAATAAGCATCATAAAGTTGTTGATGGACCCTTATTTTACTCATTTATTTATACGCAGTACTGAAAATCGAACCAGTGCCTCACATGTGAGACAAGCACTTTACCACTAAGCCATAACCCCAGCCCCACCATTTTCTATATTTTTGATGCTGAGAATTAAACCCCCTGAGTTACATCCCCAGCCCTCTATATTTTATTTTAAACACTTATAGATTAACTCAGTCTTCAACAACCAGATGAAATAAGAACCATAAACTGATGTCCATTTGTGTGTGTGGGTGCTGGTGGTGGTGGTGATTGAACTCATGGCTTTGTGCATACAAGGCAAACACTCTACCAACTGAGCTATATCCCCAGCCCAACGGATGTCCATTTTATAGATGAGATGGGTAGTGACTTGCTCAAGATCACCCAGCAGTGGTGCAGGTAGACTGGAACACAGGTCTCAGATGGGGAAGTCCATTGCCATGGTCATGCAATCAGTGGCTGACAAAGTGACACAAACCCAAGTCCCAGGTTACCAACCCAGCAGTACTTACTCCTCTGGGCAAAGCGACTTGAAAATCTGCCTCTTTTTCCATGAGTTCTGGGCCTTCTGGCTGTACGCCCGCTTGTCCTGCAGCTCCTCCTGCTCTGACCTGCAGGTACCCGGCAGATATGCCTGTCACCTGGTGCTCTGGGAGGTGTTCATACTTGCGGCCCAACAGCCTGTTACCAGGCACTGGCCCCACCCTGCCCCGTCACCTGTACATGCAGGTCTTCTTCAGGGAACACCACCGATTCAGCTCCTTGTCATCAGCAGTAAGGATCTGTGTGGAAGGGAGAGGGAGACCCTGAGCCTTAGTCCCCTCATTGGTGGACGCAGGGTCATGTGAGGACTACCTAGCAGGGATGTCGTGATGTTGGGAGAGCGCTGACTTCTGTAGTAGACACTTGAGGTTCTGGTGGATGGTCTCAAATGCAGAAACTGGCTCAGGGAGGGGATTCTTGCTCCAGGTCATGGGGCCAGGAAGTTGGCTAGTTTCAGACTCCAGGTTGAACCCAAGAGCCCTGAGCCCTCACCGGAAATACAGTGCTGACCCCGAAGTCTCAAATAAAGGCAGGGTAGGGGTCCCATGCCAACTACCTTTACCAACCAAGGTAAAGCCCAGGTTCCCAAGATTGCCTCCCCATTTATGAGGTGGGCATCCCTTCAGAACCCCCTGGAAAGTCACTGGGTAGATTAAGGGAGTGTTTCTGCATGGAATAAGCTCAGTCAACACTGGCCATTTTTACTGACCATAAATCAATAGTCAAACTAGGGCTTGTGGCATTCACAACCTGTCAGGTGCTATTCAAAGAGCCACATATGTTGGATTTCATTTCTGCTTCATAGCCTAAGGTGGGGGCTATTTATTTCCATTTTAAAGATGGGGAAACTGAGGTGTGGGTGGTCAAATCATTTATCCAAGTTCACACAACTGCTCAGCTACCTAGCCAGGACTTGAACCTGGGCCATTTGGTTGTATAGACCAAGTCTTTTTGTTGTTTTGTGTGGGAGGGGCTCAATCAAGATCCCAGCAAGTCTTGATGTCCAACCTACTGCTGATACACACTAGCAGAATTAAAAGTCATCTAAAAGAACTGGGGCTATAACTTTAGTGGTAAAGTATGTGCTTAGGGGGTCGGGATTGTGGCTCAGCGGTAAAGTGCTTGCCAAGCACATGTGAGGCCCTGGGTTCGATCCTCAGCACCACATAAGGATGAAAATAAATATGTTCAACTATAACTAAAAAATAATAAGTATGTGCTTAGCATGTGTGAGGCCCTGGGTTCCATCCTCACCATCTACCCCCAACTCCTGGCCAAAAGGGCATAATGGATTGTGCCTTGGACACTGTGCCAAGCCCTCTGGCCCTTGGCCTCATGGAGACCCTTTCAGACAGGTAAGGTTATTATTGCCAACATTAGCACTATTGTTATTATATTTGAGACGAAGAAATGGGCCACAGTATTGTGGCATCTTTGGGCCTCAGCCAGCTCTCTGGTCCCTCTTGCATCCTGGGTGCCCTTGCTGTCCCATGCCCACCCAAGGCCCTGACCTCCTCAGTACTGAGCCCAAAGTCACAGGGCACCACAGTGCGGTACTTGAAGCGACAAGGGAGGTCATCAATGATGTCCTCATAATCCAGCCGGTAATATTCATCTAGATACTCCTCAAAGGTCTTGTCCTCTGCAGGGGAGACAAAGCCAGGTTGCTGGGGTGTTCCAGGCCCTGTGGAGTCCCACCATCACCCAGGACCCATCGGGCCTCACCAGGGTTGAACACAGGTTTTTCCTGCCCCACAGCTGTGGCAAAGGGTGATCTGCGCTTCTTCTTGCCCGTGGAGGGGATCTCTCGCTTCTTCTTCCGATGCTGGCTGGGGTCGTAGTCAGCATCCATCTGCCAGGCACACAAGTTAAGATTCCAGCAGCCCTCTAGGCCCCTGAGACATCCCCCACTGGTGACACCTACATTGAAGTCGGGGTCCTCGCAGTGTGGCTCCTGCTGGCTCCAAGCTCCATCCTCCTCCTGTCCATCCCATGTGTCCCAGTTCCAGTCCTCTGATTCCAGAGAGGACAGAAAGGTTGGGTCAGGGTGGGACCTGGACTGTAGGCCCCACTTCTACCCCAGCCTCCTGTGCAGGTGATGTCACCTTCCAGCCCCTCCTCTTCCTCAAACTGTGGCTTCTCCTCCTCTGCAGTGCCATAGAAGTCATCTCCAAAGCATTTCTGTAGGATCAGAGCTGGGGGTCAGCAGGGCCTTCTTGCTTCACAGGAAGCCATGAAGATGCCAACAATGCCCTTGGCACCTTTACTCTTGCACCCTATGTGGCTCCCAGTACCCTCCCAAGACCTACCTCCTAAAGCAAGGGACCCTAGGGGTTCAGGACCCTTCACTGACCCCTGCTGGTTACCCTGTCATTCTAGCTACCAGTATGTCCCACAGACCCAGTTCTTTCTAGCTTGCAGGTCTTTGCTCTGTGGCACCCTTTGCCTGTCTTGGGCTGGCTAACTGCTACTCGGGCATGAGGACTTATTTTAGTTGCCTGGTCAGGGGACTCCTCTAAGATCCCACCATTTCCTGCATGTCCCCATCACTACCCTGATCCCAGTGGGTTATACCCACATAGATATATTCCTGGCATATAGAAGGAGCATAATAAATGTTAGACTGATTTTCACCACCATAGGAAATCAAAGAAGGTGAAATAAGGCCCCTGCTGGAACCGCAGCATCCAATGGAGGTCTAGTGAAAGCAAGTATTGTGAGCTGCATCATTTATAAAGCACCTACTACATGTCCAAACCTGGAGAGCATCCTTCTCTTTTCTTACAACCACCCTGAGTAACTACTTCCATCTCAGAAAACACAGCTCAGGGATGAGAAGCTCCCAGTTTTCAGGCCTTCTTCCCAGCTCCCCAGGCTCAGGCCTCACTGGGGCCCCTGCAATGCTCACGACTTCTCCCATAAAGCCCTCACCTGAGCCGTGTTCCCTCACAATCGGCAATAAACACTAACTGCTCAAAAAATGAGTTGAAAGGAGATCCGGGTGGTCCCTGACAATGGTTCAACTTAGGATTTTTCTCTGTAAACTCTAAGACCCTGTCTCTAAATAAAATACAAAATAGGGCTAGAGATGTGGCTCAGTAGTCAAGTGCCCAAGTTCAATCCCTGGTACTAAAAAAAAAAAAAAAAAAAAAAGAATTCAACCTGTATTTTATGTGGTGCTGAGGACTGGACCCAGTGTCTCACCTGTGCTAGGCAAGCACTCCACCACTGAGCTACTACCCCAGCCCCCAATTAAGCTATAACGTGAATTCTTTCCAATCTATCCTTACAATGGCCCTGGGGTAGATGCTACTGTTA